CCAGCAGGAGGTCAGGGAGCCTTCCTCAGTGAAAACAGGGATTGTTGGCCATGCACAACACTCCCTTTTTTCCTTGTGGTGAATAGATTTGCTTAGAGCTGATGACTTATGCCTTTCTTACAAGTTATGCAGTCCGCAAGGGCCGTGGAGTCGGGCAGCAGGCAGAGGGAGGCTAATTGAATCCAGCGCCTTCACTCTCTGCTCCTGCGGATGTTGGGCTGTGCTGGCGGAGCCTGCCTGATCTTGTAACTGCTGAGAACATGTGTGAGGAGTGCTGGATTCTGACTTTGCCACCGTGGAGTTGACAGATCAGAGTGAGGCACTGCGAGTGGGGAGGGCTGGGGCACCGGACCTTTTCACAGCTGCCCCTCTTACGCCTGCTAAATGCCGAAGCCGGTAAGTCACTCCATATATTTCGTGGGAAAGGAAAACCTCACTGTTGCTTTGAGAATGAGCTTTCTGCTTGCCCTTGCCTCGGATGCATCTTTTTTTCTCTAGAGGAATTTCTTTTTAAATTCCTCTAGATTTTTTTCCTTTTTCTCCCCACACCCTCCCCATAACCCTGAGCATTCTTGCCCAGCAGCCTTACCCAGTAACCAGGCAGAGTTTTTGGAGGGGAAAGGTAAATATTATTTTTGAGAACATGGGCTCGAGCTCCGCTGTGAGTTGTGCTGGCTCTTCGTGTGGCGGACTTGTGTTCAGACGGTACCGCACATTGTTTTTCAGAAGACTACAACGGATTGGGTTCCTTCTCTTGACTTCTAAGTTGTAACTTCTGTGGCCCCTTGGGGACTTGAAAGTTGAAGAATTGATGTCTGGTTACACTCTGGGTTTAAAAAGAAACTGTTGTGTGATTTTTCTCAAGCAAGGACATTTGCAATAGAAAAATATTTCTGCGAGCGCTTACAGCTCTCGTTCTGCGAGCAGCTGTGGGGGAGACAAGAGCACTTGGTTGTGACAGCGAATTATGGTCTTCGATCCCGGGAAGCAAGCGCTGCAAGGGACTCTGCACAGGGCGCTGCTGTAATTGTGCACTCAGCATGGTTGCAAGCAGCCTCCCAAAGATGCTAGTTGCTCCTTGCGACTTTGGTTTACCCAATTGTGCGGGCACAGATGTGCCGTGTGGCTTTTGGAAAGTGTTTATTCTGCACAGGGCTGTTGCGAGAACCGCTTGTGATCAGGCTGAGGGAAGTGTTTGCTCTAGAAGCCATGGTAGGCTTGTACCAAGCGAGCGGGAAGGCGTGCTTTTAGGGTGCTCTGCCACATAGACCTTCATATTTACAGATGTGATTGCTTTTGTTCCCTTTTCTCCGATCATCGTGCATATAGCTGTCTTACGCAAAGCTCTCCACGCTGGCTCCGTGGCTTTCTCATTAGAACATCGCAGATGTGTCAAGGATGCACTTGTTCCAAAAGAAGCTGGAGAGGAAGGAGGCGCCACCCTCTCTCTCATGCCAAATGGCCCCTAGTTCCCCATTCAGCACTGTGGCAGCCCAATGGTGTCCTATCTCTTTAAAGCAGCTATAGTTTTGTGGTTTGGCCTGGCCAATTTGTTATGGTTTAAAACTGTGGAGCCAGCTGTCTGCAATCTGATGTAATGTTGCTATGGAAACCAGAAATGAAACACTTAAGCATTCACCACAGAATTACTACATATAGCATTAGCCAAAGTAATTAAAAGTTGAGCCATATGGGCTTTCTGGTGGAAAGAAATCTGCAGCGGAGGGGCTGGAAATCGAATGTTTCTATTTACAATGTTGTAAAGCCACTTTCCACATTCTTTTTTTCTTGAAGGTTTGGGGGAATACAGATTATTGAGTTCACTTGATGGTTTACAGGCACTCAAAGTTCATTTTAGTGAACTTTAGTAAACTCTTACTCAAGAAGGTGGTATGACAGCCTCTTATATTTGAATACATGCGAACATATAGTTTTAACTTTAGTGTATTTCAAACCTGTTCTACAACAGCTCTGAACCTGCTTTTTGGAATCCTATTTGCCATGCAAAGCATAGTTCCTTTTTCTTCTACAGAGTTCCTCTGGATCAGAAGATTTCTTTTTAAAATAATTACAGCATTTTATTGAAAAATTCTGTATTCTGAAAAATGTTTCTTAAAAATTATCAAGCTTCCTTCCTTTGTAGTGTATTTCCTGAATAAAAAGACAGTGATGTGCTGTTTTCACCATTTAGAAAGTGCCACATGGTTATTTGAAAAGAGAAATATGTCATGACGGATTACTACCTAGCATAGAAGAAATGTAGCCTTTTTATAGCCTCTTTATGTTAAAACAGCTGGGGAGAACTTTTTAAGGGCAAATATTTCACAACTCTTTCTTCCAAATTCAGAGAAGGAAGTATGAAGTTAACACTTCTCCTTCGGTGAAAAGCGTCCTCAGGTTACGTGATTGAACTCGAGTAACCCAAGAGGAAAGGTGGTTTTTTGTTTTTTGTTTTAAATTCTCGGATGCATACGTGCACATACCTTTCTTCAATGACTTGGGTTTGATCTTCATGTCGATGGCGCTGCCTCAGTCTTGGAGACTGTCTGAAGCACCGTGAGGCTCCGGAAGCTCCCGGTTGCCATGGCTGGTGCCTTGGCAGTGGCAAACACCTCCCAAACCTTCCTTTTAAAAAGGAAAATAGAAATAACAGGAGTTGGAAGTTCCGAATAGCTCACATTTCCCAAAAAGTAAATAGAACACGTGAAAGTAATTAAAGAAGTACCTGGAATATGTTATTTTTCACTGCAGTGAACCTGGGCAGAGAGAGGAAAGGAGTGCTTTGTGAGGGACACTGCCTTTGTGTCTGTCATTCTGGTGTCTGTTTTACCCAGTCGCACCTTTTCCACAGATGCTTTGCATTTATAGATGAAGAATTTTGTATTACTAACTTCTACTCCATTTCTTTTTACCCCTCATCATTACCAAATACCAACAAATAAACTCAGAACCCTGTGTCACACAGGTGCATCCCATAATATAACTTGCTGTATTCTGATTGCAAAATTCTGTGTTTCTTTATTTTTACTTAACTTCAGGACTTTTAATGGGAGGTTAGAGATATAACCTAGGTTTTTCTCACTGCTAGGTACAGAGACTTTCTGTACCATAAGGTTGATCCTTCTGTTAGGGTTGTTTGGCATTATTCAAGCTGCATCCAGAGGGTGCAGTGGTTTTATGTGTTCTGTGTAACTCCACCCACTGTGGCTCATCAGGTGCCGATTACCACAGTGAGGGCCAACCAAGGTCTCGTTCCTCTGCTGGACCACCCTGACCATTTCCTTACAAGTCCACAGTTCAGCCAAGTAAGAGTGAAATTCAAACTGGACGATACCATTATTGTATTTTGAGCCCTGCTTATTGGATAATTTTACCTTTTAAGCCTTAGCCAAATTCACTTAACCTAATTGTCAGCATACCTCCTCTACTACTTAAAGTCCCGGTCTCTTATTCTTCTTTACCAGGTAGCCAGTGGTTAATTCTGAAATCTGCATACAATGTCTTACAGGGAAATTTTACAGAAGTGGGATGTAGATATCCATGAATTTCATAGCAAGGAAGAGGAGAAATGCTCTTGTCCTGCTGACTTGCTGATAGGTTTATGGTAATCATTAGTGAGTGAATGGCTTACTTAGAGTCACGCTGGAAGAAAGGAAAGGAGCTGTATGCAATACCAGGTGGCTAGGAAGGGAGTGGGGAGCACCATAGTGTTAAAATATTTCTTGCTCGCAACATGCACTGTTTTTGTGCCTAAGTTATTAATACAATCTCTACCTCTCCTTTTAAGCTCCTCTTGGCTAACTCTTGCATATCTATTTTATTACCTGTAAAATTGGGATCACTGAGAACCTGCACTGGGGAAAAGTGTCTCATTGCCAGTCTCGCATTTGGAAATGCGGTTTGTTGTTATTTTGCTTTTTGGTTTGAGTCATTTCTTTCCCTGCTATTTCGTGAACTAGGCTTGAGGACATGGAGAGAGGTTGTTGGGCTGTGCAGGATCAGCTGGAAGCGCTCACTCGTGGCTTCCCGCGTGTGCCAAAGATGTGCGCTCCCATAATGTTTGGCCAAGCAGCCAGCCCCTGAGCAGCACGCACATTTGAGAAGAAACTTCTTTTGCTTTTTCCACATTTTGCACAGATACTCCAGAGAAAGCTGCTGCATATTGAGTGTTGGAGCTGACTTGGAAACGAAAGCCTCATTTTGTTCACAAGGAAAGGATTGTTTTTAGCCTGGGTCACTGCTGCAGAGAGAGCTTTTTTTTTTTTTTTTTTTTTCTTTCTCTCTCTGTAATGTTTGATACTTGAGGGAAAACAGCTGGGCCAGAGCATACTTGAATTGCCGCAGAATGGAATGGGATGCTGGGGAATATGGACTGAACTGTATGGCAGAAAGGTCAGCCTTTTCCCTCGTCCCCTTGGAGGAATGCAGGGCTGTCCTTACACTCGCCTTGGGAGCCCTTGGAGTGAGGGAAGGGAAGAGCGTGATGTGGCAGGCAGTCCTAAGAAACGGGGCCGGAGAAGCCTTTTTTGTATCTTTTTGCCTTTCTTGCCTGCTGGTTTTCATTTTCAGGAGAGGACTGGAAAAAGCCAACAGAATTTTGGTTTGGAGAAGTAGTTGATGACCATGTTCAGTATCCAGACAGAGGAAAGCCTGGCCCAAACCACAGCAGCGCAACTGGAATGACAGGGCCAGCTCCGGGCAAGAGGCTTGTGGAGTTGTCTTAAAAGGCTCAGGGACACAGAGGAATGTGACAGATGCCCCCATGGCAGTCAAGGGCGAAGATGTGCTTTTGTGTGCCTAGGATTTCACTCTGCCCAGAATTGGGCCTTAAGATGGGAGGAGGAGCTTTGTGGGCCCGTTGAGCAAATACATTGGTAGGCTGAGTTTGTTGACCCTGCTGCTGAACTGGGTCAAGCTGGCAGAGAGGCTAGCTGCACCCAGATGTAAGGGCAAGGCGTGAAGCAGTCACTGGACTAACTTTTCCTCTGTTTCTTTGCCAGTCAAGAGAACAATCTGATGATGAGACCGAGGAGTCGGTGAAGTTTAAGAGGTTACACAAGCTGGTGAATTCCACTCGCAGAGTCCGAAAGAAACTAATTAGGGTGGAAGAAATGAAAAAGCCCAGCACCGAAGGTAAAAAAAAAAAAAAAAAAAAAGCCACCCCAAAAAACCACAGCAAACTCCACCCTGGTTATTCCAAAAGACTTAAAGTCAGTAGAAAATGAACATGATTTCAAGTGAAAAATGAATTGTGTTTTGGCAGTGGCTGATGACACTTGTCTGTACATTAGCACCAGGAAGCTCTGTGGGTACTTGATAATTCACATGTGGGAAAGAAGGAAGGTGGCTAGTACATGAGGGTGGAGTCTTGAAGTGCGAGCCAGCTTAAGTCAGAATTTTATATAAACTTTATAACTTCTTTTTTTTTATTTTTAAAGTTCTTTTTTTTTTAATTATTTTATTTATTTATTTATTTATTTATTTATTTATTTATTTATTTATTTATTTATTTATTTTTGTGTGTGGCCACCTCAGCCCACCAGGGGGCAGGCGGGCTGGCATGTGGTGCTGGGGGATTGAACCGCGGTCCCTGTGCTTTGCTTGGCTTAGCTTGTTCTAAGTAGGTGCTTTAGACCACTGAGCCATCTCACCAGCCCAACTTTATAACTTCTTAACATAAGCCTGTAACTCTGGGAAGGGCTTGGTCCTTGCTCAGTGAATTTAATGTGGATTTGACAGGCAGGACATCCATCTCGAGCAGGCACCACACGGTCCCGGCACTTCACGTTCCTTGCCACCCTGGAGGGATGCCTTCTCTCCTAAAGCACCTCGTCTCAAGCCCAGTGGGGCTTTAAGGACCTTCAGTTCTGGGGAAGTTTTAGTGGCTGTATTGCTGGCCATGAAGACGAAACAGTAATGTCAGAAGAGGCCGTAGCTGGGCTTCATTGTAATGAACAGCTAACCTTGTAATTATAATTAAGACATTTTAAATCCCAACCTTATTTTTTCCCCTTTTAGTAATATGTATTTGAAGCATCTTGTAAAATTTCCCCCAAAAGGTAAACAAAAAGAATAACTTTTTGTTTTTTTTGGGGGGGGTTTGGAAAATAATCCTAAGCAAATTAGAAAAAGAAAAAAACACTGGAAAAACATCTTTAAAAATATTTATTAAATTGTCATATCTTCATTGTGAGGAGTTTCAAAATTTTAACTTGAAAGTCTTAAAATTATTTTTATAGAGGCCCTTTTATTCTTGTAAATAACATCAAGCTATATAGGGAACTGACTTTTCCCTCACCTGCAAAAATAAGAGTTTTGGTTATTACTGAGGCTTTCTAATTGTGTTTGTAATTATTGACTGGGTTAAGCCCTCTGGAATAATATTGAAGGTGAGGAGATGACAGGAACAATGGGGATGTGAAGGAAAAGCGGGGAGGCTGGTGCGAGGGGCTGGACTTCATGGCTTATTCCTCAAGCTTGGAGTGGTTGTAGTTCCAGGGTCTCATTTGGATGTATTTCTACTCTGCAGTTTGGTTTACATTTGTGTGCAGTGGTTGCGCATGTGGGTTGCTGCATGTGGGATGTCACCCGTGCCATCCACCCTGCAGAGTGCACCCTGACTCTCCCCCTGCGTCAGGCCTTAACTGACATCGTGCAGCATGCCAGTTGGAACTGTTGGGAGAGCCACGTGGAGTTGCCAACATTCATCCTTGAGTGCACATTTGAAAACAAACTCCGTGCACCCTTGCCAAAATCAGATCTCAGCTATAACAAGTAGAGTAGTGCGCTTTGTCTGTAAATGAGATAAAAGGGGCGAAGTACCCAGTATCAGGCCCCCTGCCCACAAGGCCCTTCACACATGAGCCAAGTGTATCAGGGCAGCCTTTGCACAAGAGCAGTACTGTAAACACATAGCAACACCCCTATTTGCACATGGATGTTAGAATCAATTGAGCCCAATATCCCCGAAAGACCTCCTTGAAAAACAATGGAAAAATACAACAAAAGAGATAATTTAAAAGTAGAAAGTAATCACTAGATTTTGGGTAAGATTAGGCATCAGGATGGAAAATGGACTTTGTTGGGATCTGGTTGCAAGCCACACTCCAGGGTCTGATGGGCTGGGAGCTGAGCTGCCAGTGGTCGGCTTTCCCCAGGTGTGTGTGTCGCTCAGGGTGTCTGTTTTGTGCTGTGCTAGACTATATCCCCCTCCAGCCCCTGCACAAAAGAACTCTCTGCAGTTCCTCATCAAAGCCCTAGGGAGCAGGAGAGGCTGCCTCTGCTGTCAGGACTCAGCACCCCACAGTCCTCCTCCCTCATGCCCTTGGGGACCGACTTCCCGCAAGGCTGTGCCCAACTAAATTGTCTGAATAATAGTTCCATTCACTGAGTGTATTCTGTGTGCCAGACACTTTCCTAAACACTTCAGGTTTTATATTCCCTTTTAATATGCCATCCTCAGAACACCTACCAATGGCAGGCACGGCCTCCATCCTCATTCACAAGTAAGGAAGCAGACACAAAGAGACAAAATAATTTACTTAATGCTGCTCAGCCAACCGGCAGGAGGCCCAGAATCCTGTCCAGGCAGCCTGAGTGCTCCAGACCACTTGGTGTCTCCACCGGAAGGCCAGGACAAGGATAGATCTTCACCCAGCTTCACCCTCCTCACCTGAGTTTCCATATGTAAGGCAGGCCATGTCAGCTTTTGTACCTGCCTGTTTCGGTGCCTTGTTTCCAGAACTTAAACTTCTCCCCTGAAGGCGCCTGCTCATCTAACCCAATGAGAACTTTCTCATTAAGTGTCACCCTCGCAATAGCTGCATTGGGGGTGTTGGATGAAGATAAGTAGGCATGATCACAGATGATGCTCAGAGGCAGAAGTAATCACTCAAGATCATGGAGCTGGCGAGTGGCAGAGCCGAGCCTGGAATCCAGAGTGACACTTGCTCAGGAATCTTCTAGAATTTAAAAGCAAGGTCCAAGGTCAGAGAACATGTGCGCAAGTACTGGGGAAGCTTCCTGCTCCCTCCTTGGAATACCTAAGTATGAAGAGGAAAGGTCCTCGTTGAGTTCTGGGCATTGGGTCAGCCCATTTCCTCCGGTCAGAGTTACCTTGCCTGCTGTCTTCTGGCCCAGCTGCTTATGATAAAATAAAGGCCCTCCCATGAAACTGATTTCACCCAATGAGATGGAGTAAGCCTGTTATGGCTGTTCCTCCAGTGGATAGGTAGGTCTTTGAGGCCAAGGAAGATGGGAGAGGCAGTGCCCTGAGTCGCAGGAGTCTAGGACAAGGCTGGTGGTTGGTCACATGAACAGGAAAGCCCATGCTATGCTTGGCTCCCTCAGTGTGGGCTCGGCACAGGCTGGCAGTCTCTTCAGGCACACTTGGCACTTCCCTCCAGACTCCTTTCTGGGTGCTGACTTTCCAGAACTAGAAAATAGAGCTCTGTATGTTGTAGAGACATGTGCCCCAGCTGCTACCAGACTTGGATGTAATGCAACACATAGGTATTGGAATCTCTGATGACAACCTCACAGTGTCTAATGACTGGACCGTCACTGAGTGGTGGGTCCTTCCTTAGTGTAGTCAGCATAGCTCTTCCTTGCCAAGCCCTCAGGGCAGTGGGTCCATCAGGGTCCTGACGTGTGCCCTGGGGCACCTAGCTTGGTCATGTTGACTGCTTTAATGCAGAGGTTTTCTGTCAGGCTGTACCTCAGGCCTTGACCCACTCACTTCTTCCTGGAAGTGGAGGGCATTTCCCTGTGTACCCTAGGTTTTCTTGTAACAACGAGGACCTTTCCTCTTCATACTTAGGTATTCCAAGGAGGGAGCAGGAAGCTTCCCCAGTACTTGCGCACATGTTCTCTGACCTTGGACCTTGCTTTTAAATTCTAGAAGATTCCTGAGCAAGTGTCAAATGCACTTCAGGACAGACAGAGTCTAGAATCTGCTACACTTCCCTCCCTTTGCCACCACTGTTTCCTGGACCTGAATATAAAGTTAATCTTGAGTTGGATTAATAGCAGCAGTTTCTTTTTGTAATGTGTATTTTAACTGTACTTTCCATCAAATGGAAAAGGGAGGTAGTTTTTTTAATTTTAAAGGAGTGCTATTATTCCAGTCACCTTATCCGCTGTGAACTGAGCGTCTCTCTCCCTTTCTCCGACATTTACCCGTACACTGGCATCCCTGTTCCATTTGGCGTATTTAATGCTGTCTTTCTGTTCCGAGGCACTTTGTATTTTTTCCTCTTCGCTATTCAGCTGGTAGAAAGCTGCAAAGCTCCCAAGTTTCCTCACAATTAAAGGGACGCAGCCAGTTGGGATCACTACACCCACAGCTTGACCTACTTCTTTTCTCACATCTGTTCACATAACACAGGCAGAAAAGAACTCAGTCTTCCTGCCAGCTAGTCCAGCCTTTCCACTGGGCTCTGGAGGGCTTGGCTTGCTACCTGGTTCCAGCAAGGACTTCAAGAGCTGGAATCCTTGAGCCAAAGTGGAGCACTCCATGGAGTTGCCTGCGTGTCAGGGCCCTTAAATACCCTTGCTGCTTCAGGCAGGTCCTGACTTGGTGGGAATATCTAGTCAGGATTGCCCAGTTCCCTCACTTTCTGTGTTTGGCCAATGGGCTGGAAACCATTGTCAGACACTTTGCAAGATATTAACCCTTTGTGGTGCTTCCCTGCCTGAATGCTCATGGAGCTTCATCGCTTAAGTGGCATATGCACTAATAAAAAAATCACTGTCAGCCATGTGGTAACCATCACATGCCAGCTATTAAAAAGCCACTGGAGCCAACATAAAGGAGGACCTTTCAGAAGGGGGCAGCCTGATTCCTAGCTTCTGCAAATTGCTCTTAGAAACTGGAGCTAAGGCACATTGTGACGATGACTGGCTTCCACCTTGCAAATGCCTTTTTAAATAGTCTTCCAAGGTGCTGAGTTTATAGTCATGTTTATAGAGAGAGAAGCAGACACATCGCAACCTTTTACTGTTGTTTGCATGAAAGATACATTTGCACAGTTTGGTTCTTTTCTCTGTTAGATGCACATTTAAGTGGGAGCTGTGTTTATGAAGGGGTTTGTGATGTGCTCAGGGAGGGCACTGTTGCTTCTCTGTGACTTGATCTTTTTCAGGGCAGGGAATGTAAAGAAAGTGCAGTGGGAGAATGCAAAAGTTCATTCATTGGAGAACTCTCTTGGTTCCCTGCAGGTGGGGAGGAGCTTGTGTTTGAGAATGCCCCGGTCTTGGACGAAAGGGCTGCCCTTTACTCTGGAGTGCACAAGAAGCCCTTTGTCATTGATGGCTCTCCCGAGAAACCTCCTGAAGATGACTGTGACTCGCTCACTCCTTCGCCGTCGTCCAGCAGCCTGGATACCTGGGGAGCTGGCCGGAAGTTGGTCAAAACCTTCAGCAAAGTAGAGAACCGGGGTCTGATTAAGCCCCCCAAGAAGATGGGGACGTTTTTCTCCTATCCAGAAGAAGAGAAAGCCCAGAAGGTGTCGCGCTCCCTTACAGAGGGAGAGATGAGGAAGAGCCTCGGCTCCTTGAGCCACGGGGTAAGTACAGATGGCGTCTTCTTCTATGACCACCATCGCCGTAGGCACCACTTCCTGGTGTCCCTGGAGGAGATTCAGAGTGTCCGCAAGCAAATCCGCTTGAAGAAAACAGATACTAATTATTCCTGTTCCAGAGCTTTTCTCTGCCAGCGTCCCTCCAGAAAAGGAGTGAACGGGACCACATGCGACCTGCCCCTGCCCCGGCAGAAGGCCAAAGGGGGAGGTGGCTGCGGCTTCCCCGGCAGGAGGGCACGTGGGCGTGCCTCTGTCAGCGAGTTCAATGTCACCTACGTGGTGGAGCGGAGTCTCTACAGCCACCTGAACCTGACCCAGCTAGTGCGTCCTGCCTCAGACAGGACCCTGAACAAGGCCGAGAAGCAGGACCTCAGGCGGTGCTTGCTGGAGGAGGATGAGGAGGCAAAGAGGAAGTGGGCTGCCACGGTGGACCGCTGTACTAAGAGGGTTCTTTTGAGAATCCACCAGAAGTCTGTGAGTCGCCGAGATGGTCGTGAGGATGGCCTTGTCATTTCTGTGATGTGCAGTCAAGCATCATGGCCTTTCTTCTGTGGAGCTTGCTTTTCTCCCCTCTCTTTGCCATATCCCTTTAGGATCCATTTCGCCATCACCTTCGATCTCTATCCCTACTGTCACTCAGCAGCAGCTTTCTCCTTCTTTTCTGTTTTTCCCTTGCCAATAGAAGCTATCTATTTTTAATTAAAGCTAAACATTGAAACTGATCCTGAGAGGGCCTTCCAGGGCACTGGGCTGGGTTTGGCCACCGCTAGGAGCGCTGTCTTGATCACTAGCCTTTGGGTCATTGACCTCAGAGGAGCTGATTTGAAGCAGAAGGACATTTGCAGACTCCTTGTGATCCTCCTGTCTCAGCCTCCCTAACCTTGGGATTACAGGCATATGGTACTGAGGATCGAACCTGGGTCCTTGCACTTGCCATGTGGACTCTTAGACCACTGAGCTATTTCTCCAGCCTTCAGAAGGACATTTTCATTCTTAAAAGACATGCTTGCTCTTTCAGTTGGCTAAAACAATAGGAAAGAGCTCCCAAAAGTTGACCATCTCTACAGCCATGGATTGGTGATCAGAAAGCATAGCAAAGCACCTTTTATTAATAGGGGTGAATGGAAAGTTCTTCTCCCTAACAGGAAACAAGTGAATTAGAGCGCTTTTGTTTTACTTATGTCTGTTCAGTGCTCTTAGCCTTTTAAATAGAGGGATTGACATTTGTGGTGTCCTCTAAAAACACCCTGAATTTTCTGAACATTGCAAGAAGTCCTTACTTGTAAAAAATAGAATGTTGATTGGAGAGATTCCCCCCCCCCCGCTCCCCAGGGTGCAATGCTTTGAACTGCACAGTGTAGACTTTTTCCCTGTGGAATTCCCACCTAACATTTGGCTTGCACAATGCCCCAGTGAAGCTGTGCAGATGAGGAGCTGGCACTGCCGTCCTCTGGCACCTAGCTTCTCCCTGCTCTCCCCAGGGAGGCTGCTGGCTGGGGCCCCTTTGAAAGGTTTGAAAGGAGCTTTAGAACAGAATATGCTTCCATAGTGGCTTTTCCCAGGGTTCTTTGCATTCATGAATAGGATGTTCTTCCCCTGATGATTACTGTAATTTAAATTCATTCAGTCAAGTTCTGCTTTTGTGGAAATAAAGACTGATTGGTCAATGCCATCCTTAAAATGACCTTCTCTGTTCCCCAAAGGATCATTGGTCCTTCCTAGCCCTTGGGTTTTCCAAATATTCCCACATGTATCAACTTTCTTCTGAGATTTTGTTTTCTGTTTTTTCACATTTGGGATTCTGGCCACACTTTTAATGCTGCTCCTCTGTAGCTAAAACTTTTCTTCTGGCTCTTTCTACATTGTGACATTTGTTTTTGTTGGTTTGCTTTTTGTTTTGAAATGATAGAATTCTCTTTGTCACTCATTCAACCTCTGGTCTGCTCAGACACACAGGCCTTTTGTAAAGTACCAGTCTCAATAGAACTTCTTAAAAAATCTTCCGAGGTGTTATGCCCAGTTCATCTTCTTTTGAACCTTTTGTCCTGAACTTAATAGAACAGAACTACTTTTTAAGTGACAACTCACCCCTGTGAGTTTGCATTGTGTAACACTGAGAATTTGTCCATTCCGAGTAGCTTGAGTGGCTCATGGGCCCTCATGTTATTTATTGCTGGATTAATATTGAAACTTTGTCAGGGCTGTTTCAGGTAGTCATATCACTGAGATTTGTGTTAATTCACAGTGTCCCAGTGATAAATTCTTTGCTGATGTTGTGGATGAGCGAGTGTGTTTCTGAGCACCAGTGCCTGAGACCTTCCACTCCCCCAGGATGGTACTTTGTAATCTCTGTCACAAGCATCAGTCAAATTGGATGTTTTAAAGATGCTACAAGCTGGAGGCAGTACTGGATGGTCTTAATATTTGGTAAAAATGTGTTTGGTGCTAAATTAACAATTTGCACACAGCTAATCTTGTAAGTATGACTGTATAGTCAAGAACATGAAATTTAATTTTCTGAATATCTGGAGAATGTTAAGTGTTTTATTACAAGAGCTGCTTTTTAAAAAAATTTTTTTAAAGTACAGGGTCTAGAGGGTCTTACTACGTAGATCCGACTCATAGTGATCTGTCTGTGTTCAGCCTCCTAAGAGCTGGGATTACAAGCACAGGCCTCCATGCCCAGTCTCAATCTCTATTTCAGTGTGCCCCAGGGGTGGGGCTGGCACAGCACAGAAAGAGCTGCTTTTTTAGGATTTTAGTTTTTGCTCCTAGGGATGGAACCCAGACCCTTCTGCATGCTTAGCAAGCACTCTCCCACTGAGCTACACACCACCCTAGAGCTTTGCTTTTGTAAAGGATTAATCTCAATTCTTTGCCTCTTTCATTTACATAGTTGTTTTCCATTCTCTTTGTCATATATTTCATTTGTTTAATCCCAAAGTGTGCAGTTTCCTTTAATCTTCAACCTTGATCCTTTTATCTTTAAAAAATGCCATATTTGCTTGATGAAACTTCAGGGAAATGATAACGCTTTGAATTTACTGGAAATGATCATGTGTCTTGCTTTTTCTTAGCCATTCAATTTTTGTTTCGAAGAACAGACATGCATGGCATCTTGCAGTTTTGTCCATTTTGAAATTCAACCCTCCCGAAACATGTTTTCCACCGCATGCCCATCCCATTGGCTAGCTCTCCTCATCTCGAGCACCCGAAATGTTTTTATGAGTGTCTGTACAAGAGATGGATACATTTAAAAAATTTCTTCACTTGTGCTTTATTTGTATAGGTCACCAAAGTCAACGATTAGCTTATTTTTCTTGTACTAAGTATTCTTTACAGTTTTCCTTCTCAAGGAGTGTTGTTTTGAGAGCTACTTTTGATCTTATGAGAAGAAGATGGATAATCAATCAGGCAATCCTTATATTCTTTGTCAATTCCCATTGATAAAAAGAATCAACTCCAAGTATCTTAGCATATCTCTGGGAGAGATTTTAGTTGATAGTGAAAATAATCAGCCCACTCCTTAAGTTTTTTGTTTTCGGCATAAATGCATACAATATGCATATGAAAACTTAGATAAACCTCTGATTTATTGCAGTCATTATATCTACATAAATTCTTTGTTGATTGTTTCATATGCATCAGAAATAATATAGTGGGCTCCAGTGTCACAGTAGATGTTGCTTAAAGCAGGGACATGAAAAATCATAAAGTAATCAGGCATCTGTGGGCCATACTGTGTCTAAGAAACTTTGAGTCACAGGAAAGGAATTAAAGTCACTGCCTTTGTAAAAATGAAGAAATTTGTTTGGCATTATCTCTAGAAAAGGAAAGTTAATGCTAAGTTTTAGTTTGAGATGTGGAGATAATATTGTACCTTGGTTAAATGATGTTTTTACCCAGAGATTTTTCTATTTTTTATAGACTAGCCAGTCTGCTTAAATTTCTTAAAGAGGAAAGGAGATTGTTGATATTTAACAGAAAGTTAGGCCCAGACCATGGAAAGCAAGTTTAGTAGCTTCCTTGGAACAGCAGCAGTGGTGCTGACGAAGCAGAAGAGCTGTGTGGCATCCTGAATGTTGGTTGTCCCTGAATTCCTTCCTTCTTCTCCCCTTATCCCTCCATTGCACCACACATGCCACTTTCCACTATGGGCTCCGTGGGGGGCCCTCTACTTTTACAGTGGAGCTTTCACATGGTAAAGCCTAGAGCCAAACTCCTGCTTTCCTTTTGCAAATTCATAATATTGTCTAAGCCTAGACTTAATGTAACAGTTGTCTGGATGAGCTACTAAGTTCTTAGCATGGACATCATGGAAAGAAATGGAAGAAACTGACATGAGCATCTGATTTGTATCAAACAGTGTGCTAGGGGTCTTCAGGTAGACAATGTAGATATTCATATGTGCAGACACTAAAGCCCAGAGAGTGTAGCACTTGATCTGTGGCCACACAGCACATAAGTGGCAGAACCAGAACCTGCTTCTGCCCTGTACAACCTCAAAAACCTAGTCATTTTCCTCTTAGGGTGCTTCTATGTTCTCACTACAGTAAAGTAATATATGACATATGATCAAAAATTTAAAAAATGGGGGCCTGGGAGATGGCTCAGTGGAATAAGCACTTCCCTGGCAAGCACAAGGGTCTGAGTTCAATCCTCGGTACCGCAAAAAATAAAAATTAAAAAAAAAATTTTAAAATTGTATCACAAGACACATTGCCATTAATCCTTGTCAGAATACCCTTGCTTCCAACGCACTTATCCCGTTGCCCTTGCCACTTTCTGAAGCAGTTCTGGAAGTACTCTTTCACGGGTGTCTTTTGTTGCACTACCATGGCCGTTGTAAGGTCCTGGGTAGAATAAAAACATTTATCATTCATGCTCTTTTTTACTTTGGCAAAAAGCCAGAAATCTCATGGTGCCAGATCCAGTGAATAAAGTGGACAAGGGCATACTATAATGTTTCATGAGCCTGTCTCCCCATTGGACTGTACTCAGCAGCAGCAGTAGTCACTGTAATTTTGATTATGTCTTGTGAAGACAAAACAGAGGCGCCATTTTTTTATAATATACCATATGTCTAAAATGTATTTATGTTAAGTAATCAACATAAAGAGTATGCATTGTGATTTTTCTGTTCATTGCTTCTATTTAGTAGCTGTTAACTAGGGCTCACTGAGCAACAAGGGACAGAAAATATTGGAGCCCAAATCTGCTATTCAACTTTCATTACAAGTTGCTTCAAAAAGATCACTAAGGGGTATGTGGGGGAACAAGAGCAGTTTTTGCTAGAAAAACAACAGAAATTCAATCCAAGTTCTCAAAATATAAAATCATTGAAATATAAGGCATTTAGAGTGTAAAACCAACTAAAAGGTTGATAAAGTATCCGTCCATTTTTATAACATCAGCATCTTTCCTGTTGAAATTAAAGCGTGTGGTCAGAGGCAACCACTGAATCTTTCTTTCTCTTTCTGGGCACATGTGGTGTTTTCACTTTATTCACTGTGAGAAAAAGGGTTATAATTAACTAAGTTGGGCAGTTCGATGGGAAACAGTTATCAGCAGTTTTGGCTGGGGCAGGGAAGCAATGAATGAGTAACCCTCTTGACCTGATTGGGCCACAGTAAGCATAACCTCTTTTCCCCCTTCTCAGTGACTTGAAATTAAACGAAACAAAAGCCCTTTAGAAAAAAGCCTGCTCTCTCAGTAGTGAAGCAGGGGCCTTCCGAACCGGGTCTCTGAGACCACTGACTGATGACCCTGGATTGTCACTATTGTTTACAGCCGCTGTTAAGAGAACTTGAAGGAAGAGTTCTATGCTAAGAAACAGGAACTCTTACACTAAATTTGTGGATTTTCCCCCCTTTACTTTGAGTTTTAAAAACTAACTGTCTTGTGCACAGTAGGAGGATTCTAGATCCCTGGTGGAGGCAGAGTGCCAGTGGTCTGTGAAGGGCAACGTAAGTGAAGTCTCCTTATGCCATGAGTCATGTGGGTTTTTTCCTCCTCATTTCTCGTTTTCCACATTCATCCCGTACACGTCTTTGTGATTCAGAGAGGGCCTGCACAGGGGACATGTGTTGGGTTGTGCTTAGCCTGCTGACCTAAGAGTAACTGGGGTCTCTCCGCTCTGACCCTTGCTCTCCACAGAGAACTTGCAGTTTTGGAGGGTTTGACCTGACCAATCGCTCTCTGCACGTTGGCAGCAATAGTTCCGACGCAATGGTGAGTCTCTCAGGAAAGCAACAGATGTCAACATGGATGCTGTCCTTGGCAAGAGCTTCCCATTTAGTACCTTTGAGAATTGACACCATCTTTCCTCAGGGGTCCTAAGTCATATTTGGAAAGAATCCCTTTAAAAGATGTTGGGCTGCTCCATGTGGGAGGAGTGCCCACTGGCTCTGGCCTCCATCTTTCCTTGAGCAGCACAGCTCTTTGACTGGCTTTCCTTCTGGTTCTTTCAAGCAACAAAGCTGGATGGGTTTGTACTCTGTGCTTAGTGATTTGTGCTCTCCACCCTTTTCTTCACACTAGTTACACACTCATAGTTCAGGTAGGGAACCCAGAGCGCTTGCAGGCCTCTCTAAGGACATGTCTTGCCTTGCCATGGGCCCACTGGTGATGCCTCCCAGGCGCCTTCACAGGGAATGTGGAGCTATCCCCTGAGGCACTCTCCTGCTAGAGGGGTATAGGGGAATTTTACCTGCAGTTTTGTTCCTCCCACAGGTATTTTTGTCATGAAACACTGTTCCTCATAACCCTGTTTCAGCTCAGAGTCCTGTCTGTGAGATATGAACTACTTCAGAATTTCCTGGAAGATGGAATCTTTTATTTCGATACAAAACTTTATTGATGTACAACCCAATAATTGTAGTTTGTTAATTGTTTTCTTTAAAAAAAATCAGTTGTTGGGTTTTTTTTTCCTTTTTCAAAGGAAAGTTTTTATTTTTTATTTTTTGGCGGAACCAGGGATTGAACTCAAGACCCTTGCGTTTGCCAGAGAAGCACTTCTTCTACTGAGACATCTCCCCAGCCCCTGAAAGTTTGTTTTGAAATGCAGAATAAAATGAGATGGCCATCTTCTAGCTGCTTCAGGGCAGGAGGCACATGCTCTCAAGAGCTGACCATGCAAACCATCACAGCAGTGAAACCCACTCTGTGCTGGGCCCTCCTGCCTCGGCTCCCACCACTGACGGCACTAGCACTTTCGGGGTGACTCCTGGGGCCACCCCTTTTTCCTCCCTTGGGCTGGGCTTGGGTGAACACTGGTGCCTGGAGCTTAACTCATGAAGTGCAGGCCTCTTGGCTGCTGAAACAGTGGAAAAACATAACTAGAGAAGAATGTACTAGGATTAAAGTTAAAAGTGACTCATGTTCCATTTCAAACAAACAGCCTCTTAGTCGATTTTAGTTTCTAATCAAAAAGATACATGGCCACAGCACTGAATTAACATGAGAACTATCCCAAGAATTAGTCCCAGGAAGGCTAATATTTTTCTGATAGTATGGCCATTAATGGTTTCGTTTGGATAAGAAAACCTGCTCCCGGTGCCTGCCTGGCGAGCCCAAGGACTCAGGTTCAGTCGCAGGTGGTGCCGAGGCCAGGGTGTGCTCTGTTGGCTGCTGAGACGGGACGTGGTGGTGCACACTGTAATCCCAGCACTGGGGAGGTTGAAGCAGGAGGCGCACTGTGAGCCCGAGCCGCGTAGTGAGACCCTGCGCCAAATAATGAATAAATACATAAGCCTGTTCCCGAGCTTCACCTTCTGTGCCTGAAGGTTATTTACATTTTATTTCACAGGGAAAAGAAGGAGAGTTTGTGTACAAAGAAGTCATCAAATCACCCACTGCCTCCCGCATCTCTCTTGGAAGAAAAGTGAAGTCAGTGAAAGAGACAATGCGGAAGAGAATGTCTAAGAAATACAGCAGCCCCGTCTCTGAGCAGGTACGTAGTTACCTAGCAGAAAGCCCCTTCGGTGCTCTCGGGGAAGCCAAGGACAATCATCTGAAGTTATAAACGCTGCTAAGTATATACATTATTAACCTGCACCAGGGCTGTGCTTTGTTTATGTAGGCAAACATTCAATTCTAGATGCCCAGACTGAGCACTTAGGGTGTGCAGGCAACACGTTTAGTACTGGGAATACAGGTGCAAGTGTTTGAATTCCCTCTGCAGCCAGCCTTGGACAGAAATGGCCCATCATTGATGCAGAAAGCGCTGTAAATGTGACCACAACAGGACTTGCTTAAATACCTTTGCTGCAAGTTGTCACCAGAACCCACCCTAAAGAAGTGGCCTTGGGCAGCAGGCTTTTCAGATGGAGCCTAAGTTATTTTAGAAGGACTGAGAAAATGTGAGAAGGAAATTCAGAAAGCGCTTCCTGGTTCCAGACTTTGATAGCTGCCTTTTTCTTGGGGGTGCTTGCACTAACTGGCCCTATCTGTGCCTATTAAGCTATCAGAAAATTGAGCCCTACCCCAGTCTATGAAAAAAAAAAAATTGTTACTATTTCTGTCTTAATTGAATTGGTGGAAAGAATAAAAACAATTAGAGATCTGAACGCTTAGGTAATTTTGACCATTGGATTTCAGAGCCCTTTATCCTGACACCCTAATGCTACTGATTTTGCAGCCTGTTTAAAATACATGTGTGAGCTGGCTGGCTGCGTAAAATATGTAAGGTCTCTGGTTCATCCACCAGAGGTTCATCCTCCAAATCCATGTCAGTGAAAAAGAGCAGGGAAAGCAGACATCTTTGCTCTGCTGCTGCCCCCTGGTGGGCAGAGCGAGCTAAACACCAAGCATCTCACTGTTGAAGTCACTCTGAACACCTGCCTAGCCAGCCAGCTGCACTTGGGACAGACATAGAGTGCACGTGTTTATGACAGAGGTCACTGTAAGATTGGGAGTCATTTGCCCCCCTACCCACCCCTGGGCAGTGTTTCGGGATATTTTGGGGGTGCTACTAGAATCTAGCCGACAGTGCTACAAATGTAGTAGTGTGCTCATGTGGCCCCACCGAAAAGCACGCTGGTCCACAGAGCTCAGGCTGAAAGCTCTAGCGCGTGACACATTTCAGTTTCTTCTTTCATCCTCTCCCCCCTCCCCCGCTCCTTTCTCCATCCTTTGATCCCCTTCCCATTGGAAATGATCTAGTTCCCTATTACATATTATCTGTCTTATATTTTGCCCCTTAATTTGTAATTTGGGTTTGTCATGTAAGAGAACTCATATGATTTGAGCCGTGTGTCTGATTTATTTCACTTAACATTATGGCCTGAGAGGGCATCCATTTTCCTACAAATGGCTGTAAGTTTATCTTTCTTTACGGCAGGGTAGTGCTCCGATGTGTGCCCATACCGCATTTTTAAATCCATTCATTGGTTAATGGACAGATAGGCTAAGGCCAGGATTGACCTATTGTGAATTGTGCCAATACCAACATGAGGATCCACGTATCACTGTAACATGATGTCTTTAACTCTTTTAAGAAGATTCCTAGGGCAGGCCAAATGGCTCAGCAGATTAAAGCGCCTATAAGCAGGCGCAGGGGCTAGGGGTTCAATCTCCTGGGCCTGCTGTGCTGCCCCCCCATTGGGGGTGCACCGAAATGGCAGTTAGACTGGGCGTGGGATTACACACCTGTAATCCCAGCACTTGGGAGGCTATGAGCAGGAGAATCACTGAGTCTGATCTAGTAGTAAGACCCTGAACACCCTGTGGACCCTTCCCTTAAAAAATAAAAAAGGAAACTAATATAGCCAGCAAGGTAGCTCAACAGACTAAGTTCCTACTTAGACAAATGCAGGGACCAGCGTTCAAGCCGGCCTCCATGCACGCCTGTAGTCCCAGCCCCGGGGAGGCTGGAAATAGGAGGATCACTACGAGTCTGAGCTGCCTAGTGAGACCCTGCACTAAATACATTAGAAATACATTAAAAAAGTAAAATTTTTTCAATGTAAATGTTTCCCCTGAAAGTAGATTAGATGGTCTTTGATAAGACCCTGTGACCTGGGTGGGCCCTTGTGAGATCCGGCAGTCACAAGTGCTATGTGACTGCATTAATCATGGGTTGTACTTGCTGCTGGGCCACTTAATTATGCTGAGACCTTAAGTCTTCAGCTAATCATTTTATTTTTGTGGTAGATTTTTTTCAACCAGAGATTTTAAAAGTGTCTATTTGAACATGCAAAATAGTCTTTGAATGCTTAATAAATAATGGGTCATTGATTTAAAATTAAGGAATGATATAGGTTAAATTTTAAAAATGGGATTTAGAACCAAGTATCACTATGAGGATCAACTTGATGGATACAGCTGCAGCACCCACTGCTGAGAATTGCAGAACAACCTCTGAGGCCTTGTGAGACTGAATTTTCTTAACCCTTTCAGGACTCGGGACTCAACGGCATGCCTGGCTCCCCGGCCTCTGCCCAGCCTGACTCTGAACACATGGACAAACCCAAGCTCAAAGCGGGAGGATCTGTGGAGAGTCTTCGGAGCTCTCTGAGTGGGCAGAGCTCCATGAGTAAGTCCACTTCAGTTGTAGATGGTTTCCTTGGGAGGTAAAATCGAATGTGTTGAGCTTCAAATTTAGGCAAGTTCATTGTGTTCAGTAGGACCCAGGTTTCCTCAGGGGGTGGTGAGAGAGAACCAGACCCATAAAATACCTGCACTGTGAGTCAGACTCATTTGGTAATAGATCCAAGCAGTGGCACCTGGAGGGGGATTAATTTTGGCTGAGGAAGATAAGGAACGGGTGAAAGGAAGGATGGTGGGGGGTAGGCTACAGGAAGGGGCACATCAAGGTGACTGGTAAGGTAAAGAGGCTTGAATTGCAAACATCACTGATAGCAGGTGCTGTTCAGCTGCCCCAGGCCCAGGAGTGGTTGTGTTGGCCAAATTGGAAAGGGGAAGGGTTCAAGTTTAAGTCCATCGCTTTTAAATTCCTACCCTTGGGCAAGTCACGGACCTCTCACAGGGTGTTTCCTGGTCTGTGAAATGTAACATTGGCATGTGGTACCAATATGAGGCCGTGGATGTTAAGGGAGAAGGCAAGCGTCCGGTATTGGGTTGCCTTCCTGAGCGAGTCCCGTGGCACGTGGGCTCCTCAGTCATGAGGACAGTGTACTGTGCCATCGGAAACATGATGTGGGAAGTCAGGTGTGCTCCCTTTTCTGTTCTGACGCGAGGTCCTGGGGCCTGGCTCCCATCCTTGGGCCTCACTTTCCTGATCTACAGTCCCCTCTATGCCTTTCAGCTTTGCCCTGTAGGACATCTATACTTAGCTTCCTCCTTCCGTGTTTCCCGCACAGGTGGTCAGACAGTCAGCACCACTGATTCCTCCACCAGCAACAGGGAAAGCGTCAAGTCAGAGGATGGGGACGATGAGGAGCCACCCTACCGGGGCCCCTTCTGTGGGCGAGCCCGGGTGCACACTGACTTTACCCCTAGTCCCTACGACACAGACTCGCTCAAGCTCAAGGTGGGTCTCTGGGGCTCAGAGAATCCCATCTGGACCCCTTTCTTCCTTTCCTCCTTCCTCCCCTCCCCTCCCCTCCCCTCCCCTCTTTTGCCCATCCCTCCTCCTCCTCCCGCCTCCTCCTCCTCCCTCTCCCCTCCCCTCTCTTCCCTGCTGGAAACCGCTGCTTTCAGAGTTGAGATAGATCTAAGACAATCTCTCTGTCTCTGTCTCTCTCTCTTTGTCTCTCTGTCTGTCTCTCTCCCTCCCCTCCCTTCCCCTCCCTCTTTCTCTCTTTCCTTTCCCTCTACTCCCTCCCCACCTCCCTGCTGCCAGAAGGGCAGGGCTTGCCACTAACTTGTGAGTGGTAGGCAGTTCTTTGCCTGGGAAGCAGGAACACTTGGGCTAATGAGTGACTGTTTAGAGAATCAAGTAGGAGACAGCACTGCAGCCCAGGCCCTGAGGTGCCAGAAGAAGGGCAGCCTGTGATCTGGGACCTTGTGAGATCCGGCGTAGTCACACGTGCTCTGTTCTGCCTCTGCCAAAGCGCCTGTCATGTCCTGTATCAATGGCTTGGGAAGGTCATGTGTGGGACCCTGGTTCTGCCATTTTTCCTTCTGTGTAACTCACTGTGCTTCAAAGTACACCTAACGGAAAGATCTGTGTTCCCTGGGCTACAGAAAGGAGATATTATTGACATAATCAGCAAGCCGCCCATGGGGACCTGGATGGGTCTGTTGAACAACAAGGTCGGCACCTTCAAGTTCATCTATGTGGATGTGCTGAATGAGGAGGAGGAGAAGCCCAAGCGTCCCACCAGGAGGAGGAGAAAAGGAAGACCTCTGCAACCCAAGTCCGTGGAGGATCTCCTGGACCGGATTAACCTGAAAGTCAGTCCCTTCTACTTATTCCTCCTCCAAAACTAAGCATGGGGAGGGCAGGTTTAGGCTAGGCTAGGTGGAGCTATGCCACCTAACAGGTGACCCAGTAGTGTGATGAGTAGCCATAATGGAGAGGAAGTTAGCGGAATTGTCCTGTGGCCCTTGACCTGCTCTGTGTGTGATGATCTAAGCCATAGATCAAGTGTTGCACGTGAGGCTGTAAGGGCAAACCCGGTGCCTCTGCATGGCCAGCTCCTCAGAGCCAGGGAGGTGTTTCCCTTCCCACATCCCTCTCCCCAGACTCCCAGCACCTGGTAGGTGGGTCTGCAATGGGAGACTCTGTCTCTTACAAAACACTGTCGCTCCTGAGATATCTGAGGAGCCCACAAAGTTGAATTTTAATGCCTCTATAAATGAAGGAGGGGCCTTCTCCCTAGTGGGCACGTAGTGATAAAGAAATGAGTTCATATCAAGGGCTCAGTTATGATGTGGAACCCATTACAGTCTGCACTGTACATCTGCTACCTGTGATTAATAAAATAGTCTTCCTGCCTGCCGAATTGGTGGGCTCAAAGGCATAGGACACATTCCAAATGGTACTAGTCTTGATTAACATAAAAATAATGATGAGAAAAGAGCTGAGGGGTCTGAGGCTGGTAGTCAGCTGGCTGTTGCAAGGCTGGGCCACTGATTCCCTTTGGTCCTGTCTCCACACCTCCCAGGAGCACATGCCCACTTTCCTGTTCAATGGATATGAAGACTTGGACACCTTCAAGCTCCTGGAGGAGGAAGACTTGGATGAACTAAATATCAGAGACCCAGAGCACAGAGCTGTTCTCTTGACAGCAGTGGAGTTGTTACAGGACTATGACAGTAAGTCCCTCCACACGCTCGGGGTGTCTGGTCCAGAGCCACAGTCTTTGGACACTAGGAGGTCTCTTGTAAACTCTCAGCAGGTGCTTCTCTCCTTTGAGTCCCTCATGTTGTCTTGCTCCTTCCAAAGCCAGTCAGCTTCATAGTGCACTAGGCCCTCATGACGATCGGCCTGGCCTATGAACGATGTGGGTTATGACCAGGATTTTAGTTTTAGCTTACAACCAAAGACTTGAGTTATGACCCAGATGTCGACTACTTGTGCTTGCAGATGCTTTCAGTACAGATGTAACCCCTAAAGAGTTCTGGAGGGCACATTACCACATCCTTTCCTGTGTGGGGTTAAATCCTGGGCCAGTGTCTCTTGAAGGCCACCAAGATCTGCCTGTGCACAGGAGACTCTGAAGGCTGCGTACAGGAGCCTGAGCCTTCAGTTGACGACTTGAGTTACAACTGGCCCTTGGGACTGAATTGAGTTCCTGAGTCAGGGGTGCATGGAGTGCCAAAGAGCGCAAGGCCATTAATTCCAAGTACAGACACTCCTATTAACATGGAAGCAGAACTCCTCTTTGGTAGTCCTGACAGCTTCCCTGGCGTGCTTCTAGGTAATCCTTGAGGATACCACTGCGCCATGTGACAGAGAATGAGCTGCTGTCTTGTGAGAAACCAGTGGACGCTGCCTTGGTGTCTGTTGGGGTGGGCAGTCTCCAGCAGGTCGCTAGGGTGTCTGGGTACGAATGTGACCAATCACTGGGAGTTCCCTGCCCAGCTCAGGGTTATTTCTCAAAATCATGAGGTATTTTCTTACTGAACAGGGTGATTAATAAGTGAAATTAATCAGTTTCTGTTAAAGAAGCAGGAAATGTCTCTGAAGTGAGTATATGGAGCAAAACGATTCCAAACTTAAGTGGGTGACAGCTGAGTTGTGCAGCATGTGACGGAATGCAGGGAGCTGGCGGCCTTACGGGCTTTGTCCCATGGATGTGCCCCACCGCTCCCTTAACCCTGTCTTACGTGCTCTTTATTCTTTAGTCCCACATTGTGAACATTCCTGAAATTAGTCATCATGAAGGTAGTCCTATCCTTTCCATTTACTGAATTCAAATGTATTTTCTTTCAAGTGCTTTGCTTCAGGGTATCAGTAGCTAATAGCATTTCTTTTGCTAAAAGACATGGCAAAATGATGGTTAATGGTGGGGAGAAGAACGTCACGCATTACAGATGATCCCTGATGGAGGGTTTTTTGTCTTTGTGGTGATGGGAAAGCTCAGTGGAGTAGAAACGTACCTTTTGAATCCTGGTCCTTTCCTGGGCTAGCCATGTGCAGCAGTGACGGCACTCTCAGGAGGCCGGGCAGGGCAGCAGCAGCAGCTCCTGGGCAGTCACGAGGGTGAGTGAAGTTAGGGTGCTCAGTGGGCTCGAGGAGCAAATGCATTTTTAGTTTATGTAACTTTTGGTGGGTTCTGGCGGAGCACCTGGCTGAGTCCCTCGGACCCAGGAGACGTGAGGCAAGGATGCCAGTGCTGCTTGCTCTCTTCTGCTTAAAATGTATTCCCTCTAAGTGCACTGACAGCACGGAGGACGCACACCGGGATATAGGTGTCCGAGCCCTGGGCAAACAGGTAGCCTTGAGGGGTACCTTGGTGGCCTTCATTCATCATTGCTAGTATTTACATCTCCGAAGAGAAACCCTGCGGCCTGGGGCCAAGTGTGAGTAAATGACCTGGGACGCTGCATTGCTGAGTGCTAGCACTCACCTGTTTTCCTGACTCACGTCTGCTCTATAACATAGCCCACTTGCTGTTCCTCAGCCACGGAGAACGGCTGGTTTCAGTGCACTGTCTACTGCACTTCCTTCACCATGCAAACAGACGAGGACCAAAGCTAGATCCTGAGTATAGAGAAGGCATCTGCGCCTAGTCTCTGTCGTGCCTTATTAGCCCAGTCCCTTTGTCCTAGGGTTACAGCCCAAGATTTGTGCCAGGGCCATGGAGGAGGGTAATTTTAGTGATCCTAACGCTAAGAAGGCCAGGCATGGTGGCTCACACTTATAATCACAATATTCTCGGAGGCTGGGGCAAAGAGATTGCAAGTTTGAGCCCAGCCTATGCAATTTAGCAACTTACCAAGATCCTGCTCAGAAGAAAAAAGAGCAGGAGATATAGCTCAGCATTAAGGCCCTGGGTTCAGTGCCTTGTAAAACACACACACACACAAACTCCCTTTGCTTCTTATAAATCCTATTTGGATTTATACATTACCAGTATTTGGACTTTTCCTAATAACCAAGATAGTAAATTCTTTTATTTGCTTTAAAACAAAATCTTCATTTCTTAATGTTATAAGACTTTACCTCCAACATGGTTAAATTCATTAAATTCATTGCATTTCAGATGTAGTCCTTCTAAGTCAGTGATAACTTAGAGGACCACAATAGCTTTCTCTCAAACTAGATTTCTTTCTTTCTTTCTTTCTTTCTTTCTTTCTTTCTTTCTTTCTTTCTTTCTTTCTTTCTTTCTTTCTTTTTAAATGTGTTTGGCACAGGGTCTCACTACACAGCTCAGACTCACAGTGATCCTCCTCTTTTCAGCCTCCCTAGCATTGGGATTACAGGCGTGTACCACCACGCCCAGTCTCACTGGCCTGGTCAGCATGCCTGGGGTGGGGCTGGTGCAGCATGCAGTATCAGGGATCAAAACAGGTCTCTGCACTTTCATAAGCAGGAGCTTAGTCCATGAACTGTCTCACCGGCCCTGTCAAACTAAATTGTTTGCATTAAAGAGACACAGGTCTGTTGAGGTCTTTAAAGGTTTGTGATCTTGAAGGTTTTATAGCTAAATCATCTATAGAGAGGAAAAAGTCTATCTCCAGCAAGCAGATCTGTCCAGGGTCTTCCAGTCTTTGGAAAGGGCAGCTTCCGTGGGGGTTGGCCGGAAAAGACCTCAGTTGTCAGAGTCTCCTCTTTATATTCTTAGGGCTACTAAGTGTAAGTACACTTTCAAAAACTTTTAAAAAATATTTAATTGTAGTAAAATATGCATATCCGAAAGTTTATCAAACCACTTTTAAACATACAGCTCAATACAAACATTTTATGAAAATTTTTATCAAAAATTATGTCAAGTGTGCAGTAGAACACAGAGAAAAATAAAACAAATTTATACACATGCTCTTCTTGAACTCAACTAAAGTTAATATGTTGTAAGCTTTGTTTCAGCCCTATTCATTCATTCACTGATTCAGACTATATTAGGGATTAAACCCTGGGCCTCCTCACTGAGATGCAATTTCAGTGCCTGTGTTGTGTTGTGTTGTGTTATGTTGTGTCATTTGTTTGAGACAGGATTTTACTAAGTTGCCCAGGCTGGGCTCAAATTTGGGGTTCTTCTGCCTCAGTGTCTGAGTGATCCTCATTTTACAGCCCTGTTAAAGTGTTGCTATCCAAGAACCCTTCGTGCTCCACCCGCTGTGGTTTCTGAGGGTGCCCTCAGTGCCTCAGCATGTGCTCCCCGTGTGCACGTGGTTGTGTTGCTCAGTTTGGTGATGAGGGAACCAAAGTGGTTAACATCCAAGCTCAGCTCTTGCCCAAATGGAGATGCAGCTTTCACTCTTTTTTTTTTCAAATGAGAATTTGTACATCGCAGTTCATCCTTGTTCTTTTTGTGCTTAGACATTAATGCTAATAAACGTGATAGAAAGTAACTGACTTCATTCTGCAGTACCTATGTGGGACCTGTGGCTCGTTTTGGCCCAGAGAAGGTTGTGACTCTGGCCCTTTGCCATATGCTCATGACTGAGTTGGACAGAGTTTCAGGTGATGGGAGGAATCCTTCCCTCCATCACAGTTCAGGTGCCCTTCTCTGCTTGGTGAGGCGAGGACTCCCCGAACGCTGATCCTGCGTGCATTCCCGTGACTTCTGCTTTCTTCCCACCCACCTGCACTCTGGAGTTACCTTTGGCTTCTGGGGTGCACTGAACCGTTGCCACTAGGGATGGGCAGCACTGCTTCCTGTTGCTGGGTTGGAGCTGAGAGCTCAAAGTCATCATTTCCCAAGTATCACTTTCCTAAATAACATCCTAGGCTGAAACGGAGGCTACTGTACAGCCACAGTCTCTTCCGCACAATGAGGACATCACTCTGGAATGTTCCAGTTTTAGTGTGGGGGTGGCTGTATCTGTTCATGGGCTTCTAACATGTCAGTTTGTCCTTGGTCACTCAGGAACTAGCACTCTTCGTTTGTGTTTCTAATTGAAGACCTTATTCTGCCATGGTCTCCGTAGTAGTGATGTGTTACAGAAACTTTTCCAACGAGAAATACAAACAGGAGGCCACAGCACATGTGTACCGCGGCAGCCCTCTGCTCCCCCACATGTTTATTTTGATGACCTGAGAACAAGAATCATATTTCTGGTTTATTGGATTGGTTTTTCTCTGTGTATGTGGTCAGGGCAGAAGGGTGAGAGGCAAAAAGAAAGGAAAATAAATGAAAGCCATTTGTTGTCCCAACTAGCTATTTTATGTAGAAATTGTTTTCTTGGTTTCCACTTTCTGTGACCAAGTACTTAGCCTGCATGACAGAATGAAGATGCTCAGCATGAGTCCCTGTGCTCCACGCACAGGGTCACGTGCTCACTCACTAGGACTTGCAGAGTGTCGCTGCTGAGAGAGGTAAAGGCCACAGGATTCCTCGGGCAGACTCTCTTAACACACACATCTGAGACTCTTTTTATCGATTTGTTTTTTTCTCTCCCCTCAGTTTTATGAGGTCATGTTAACACATATGGCCCTTCTCTTTAACAAGATGCCTCAGAAGGACACACTCACACATTTACCTTAGGTGTGTCTCCTGCTTGGTCACCAAGGCACAGTGTATATGAGTTACTTTCTGGTCACTGAGGCACTGTGCCCAACAGCTGCACCATAAAGAAATAGAAGTTTAATTTGCTCAGGGGGTTAGTCCATGATTGGCTGGCTCCACAGCAGTGATCTCATGGCAGAAGGGCTTGATGGAGCAAAGTTGCTTGGTTCCAGTGACCAGGAAGCAGAGCTGGAGGACAGTGCAAGAGAGGAAGGGGCCAGGCCCAGCAGGCTGCTTAATTACTCCTCCACAACACACCCGGAGACACCCTGCCCTAACCTGCTAGGTGTTCATTAATCCAGTGAGGCAGACACACCAGGATTAGCAACTGTAGTGTCTCCTGAGCTTCCCCTCTCAGGTCTGTGTGCAGGGAACAGAAATGCAGGCCCAAGACAGCGGGGAAAGCAGGGAAGGGAGGAGACTCTAGTGTATCCCAAACAACAAAAACGAAAAGAGGCTTGCCACTGGGTCCTCAGTTTCAGGGTCTTGGCCCCTTCTGGCCAACCTGACTTTTACTAAGGTGATGCAAGAGCCAGCATAGGTTACCAAGGGCCAAGAATGCTCTTAAAAGAAGGTGTGATGATATGCCTGTAATCACAGCACTTTGAACCCCGAAGCAGGAGGATCATAAGTTTCAGTTCAGCTTGAGTTTCATAGTAAGTTCTAGGCTAGCCTGGACTATACAGTGAAAACCAGTCTTCAAAAAGCTCTTAAATTCGAGTAACATTTGATACTGGACCTTTTTATGTAAGGTTTCACATTTGGAGAGGTAGTAACATAAATAGTTTCAAGCCCACGTCTCACAGATCTCTAAAAGGACATGGCCTAACCCAACCAGGAAGGGCATTGCCGCCTTTACTTCTGTGCCCTAAACTGAGTGACGGTGCCCTCACCCGAGTGCGTGTGTGATGGTGACGCAGCCGCCAACACCTCCGCTACGTTTTTCCTCTCCGCACAGGCTTCCATCCCCGTTTGGCTGTTTCCAAAGGCATATTCCAGCTATGTGCTGTGTTCCCAAAGATAACTTCATGGGGTTGATCCTTTACTTGAAATGTTCAGTTCTCACAAGATCATTTTAAGTCCAAGGCTTAAAAATATATGGCAGCAACAGGCTGAAGTTGGGATCTGCCTGCCGTGGGGACCTCTGCTTCTGCTCCTCTGTGATTCCGCGTGATGTGTTCACCTTCTCCAGGTAACAGCGACCAGTCCGGGTCCCAGGAGAAGCTGCTGATGGACAGCCAGGGCCTGAGCGGATGCTCCCCAAGAGACTCCGGATGCTACGAGAGCAGCGAGAACCTGGAAAATGGTAAGGCCAGCGTAATGGTATTCAGCAGAGTGATTGTTCTTCCCATGATGAGCCAGGTAGTCGCCTTTCATGTCCAGCCTCTTCCTACGCTGCTGTCCAGTCGGCCTCTGTGCTTAGTCAGCCTGGCTGTTGTGTAAGGCTAATAAATTCCATCTGAAAGCCCTGCAGCTATAAAACCCAAATCATGCGTCTCCTGTGCCCTTCGCTGTGTGCAGTAACAACCCACATATGAGTGTTGGGAACCACGAGGTCCGCAAGGTGAACAATTCGCAAGGTAGACCATCCACCAGGCCACACACCTGGACACCCTGGCTGCAGGCTCAGGTCAGAAGCAGTTATGTTGGGAGGAGACAGCAGGGAGGACACCTGTCTTTTTTGTGGTTTTCCTAGACTAACAGGCAGGAAGTAGTCAACGTGGAATTCTAGAAAGGCTGCTTGTCTCAGACACAAGCAGAACTTTCTGTAGAAAAGGTTCAGGCAGGATAAATATCATGCGGCAGGGGCGCTCTGTAGTTTAATGTTGTAACCTCAGAATTCTCATTATCGTGAGATTTAAAAGCAGTAGCCAAGGGCTTGCACTGCCTTTGTGACCTACATCTCTCTTGAACACTTGAAGGCCATTGTAGAAAAATGCTCAGGTCCGACAGGTTTTGGCTGTCTTTGGAGTCCCAGCTCTGAGGCCATGTGTTAGCATAATCATCAGCACCCAGAAAAGCAGACTTTCTTAAGCCGCAGATTCCATGGGGTACAATCAGTTTAGTGGGTCACAGGCAGCAGTTTGCTAAGAAAAATACTGTAGAAAATATCAATACACATCCCATAAAGTAAGGATCAATATTGCTAGTATTGTTGCTTTGAATCTTTGTGTGTGTGTGTGTGTGTGATGGTGAATGTAAAATGTGTCTTTTACTGTGAATTGTGGCTTAAAATAGTGTGAAAGCCATGTGGGGCAACACAGTCAGGACTGCAGGAGTCAGGTAGGTGTCCAGGGTACACGTTCAGTGAGGTGCTCGGGTAACCCAGTTCACAGTGGGACGTAAAACCCGCCGAAGGTCTCAGTACATCCTCCGTGGCAGGAAACAGCCAAGCCTTAGGTAGGTCGAGGAGGCTTTTCTGTTATTTACCTTTCAGCAGCCAAACATTTTCAGAAAATTAATTCCAGCTGTGCTGGATTGATAAGGAATCCATAGATAGCACTGGCAGAACACTTAGTGCCCCACAAGAATTCAGATGCACCTGCCAAGGAACTAGATTACAGAAGATGGCGAACCATGTTTTGAATTCAGGGTGAATCCAGGGGTCTTTCCTATTTAAGCAGACTGTGAAAATGAGAACATTGGGAGTGTGACTTATATTGGGAGTTAAGGGAAAGTCATACAACGTGGTACCTTGGTTCATGGGCTAAATTCTTTCCATGATTTTGATAGACTAATTCATCCCAAAATTCTGTTTGCACTCTATTCCTACAATTTACGATAAGGATATTTTAAGAATTTGCTCTTTCAACCAATTTTTTAAGTTTAATGTGCTATGTTTTCTGAAGAAGTGTCTCCCTTTTCCTGGGGAAAAAAAATGGGACCGTGGCCAGTATATTCAGTACTAACACAAGGCTACTGATCTCCATGTAGCAACAAAATAATAACCCGTAAATAAATGCCTGGCATGTTGGGGCATAGCAGTGCAGAACACACAGATAGGGAGTGTTTGAGGTCTCAAGTTATAATTCACAGGGGAGGACAAATGTCATTTAACCAGGTCTGTGCTCTGCTGAATGCAAAACATTTCACATGTTGATTTTTGCCTTACTAGACAGGATGCAGTTGCTAACTTGACGTGTGACTGAGATCCACTGTTCTTACCTGTCAGTCGTAGGGGCTGTTTTATGCACCATGTGACATGTTGCAGATTTTCAGTTTGGAATTAGAATGAGCTTTGTAGAAGTCCATAATTCATAGAATCTGGTTTTTTCCCTGCTGATAATGGCGAAAGCTCTTACAGTGTCACAGCCTTAGGATTTGTCCCTCTGTTCTTTTTCCTTCATCTAGGCAGCATAGAGATTTATTCGAAGAATGCCTTTCATTGATTCTAAAGTACCCCTGGCCGCCTTTGGATGGGCACTGCCTAACCATTGCACTCGTCCCAGTCAAATCTGTCCATGGCCTGATTTCTCTTGCTGCTTTATATACTGAAAGAGCAAGACTGCTTTAGTTGGGAGATGACAAAATTCTAAAAGTATGTGGTTAAAAATGTTTACTCAGGGGCTAGGGAGATAGCTCAGAGGTAAGCCCCTGCCTGGCAAGTTTGGACCCGGGTTTGATCCCAGGCACCACATGCCGCGCTGCCCCGCCCAGGCATAGAGAGCTGGCCACCGACACTGGGTGTGGTGGCGCATGCCTGTAGTCCCAGCACTTGTAGGGCTGAAACAGGAGAATCACTAGGAGTCTTGAGTTGCATCGTGAGACCCTGTACCAAATACATAAAATTAAAAAAAAAAAAAAAGTTTACCTAACAATAAAGTCAAAGGAAAACGTTACTCTTCTAATGACATAGTGGCTTCTCAGATATTAGAGCCAGCCATTTCTTCATACCTCCCAAACCTGATGTAGGTTTAGTACTACTCATCTTTTTCTATAAGTCTAGAATAATGAAATCACTTGACTCAAATATTCCATTACCGGGGGCATTCCTGTCTGGCATTTGTCAATGTCAAAGATGACAACAACATGCTATTAACCAACGATGAAACCAGGGACAGTGAATTGATGTGTGCTCCCATAGTGCACTGCCTGGGCCGTGCGTTGTGTGCTCTCAGTGAGGCTTACTGAGCGGCAGCAGTTAATACCAGCCAGCAGTCCTCAAATAAAGGCGTCATGTGCCTGGTTGGTGGCTTCACTTATTAAGCTCACAGTTGATTTTTCCCTAGGGCTTTGCTTTGCTGGAACATAGAACTATAGAAGTATTTGATAGGGTGTTTCTGCCAAGCTACGCACTGGACCTTGTTTACTGGTCTATATCAAAGTTGCTTGGTTGATTCTGGATAAATTTATTACAGGGGAGCCACTTTGAGGACGTGTGATTTTGCATATTCATTAGTCACCCCTTTGTAGCATCATGGGTAGACGCTCTTGAGAGAAACCAGGCCTCCTCTCCATTTCACCCATGACCTTGAGAAATTGTACTGGCCAAACAAAAATTCCATCTGTGGTTTCCAAATAGGGTTTGGATGATCGATTGTCTCCTACATTGCTTGCAGGTAGAAGGAGACGTTAGGTTTAGCTTTCTGCTGTTGCCTAATATGCACAGCCCAATTACCATTTCAGTTTCCATAAGTCTTTTAGTAAGACTGAGAATTCTTTCTAAAAATGGGACCATAGCGCCTCTAGGGCACCCATTATCATTCATGATTCCTTTATATGCTTAGTACAGTTTCAAAATGGGGATATGGGAATTGGAGTTGTCCAGTATGTGTACATACACTTTTATGTGTGTTTGATTTTTCTTTAACACATTCTGTGTCTCACAGGCAAGACTCAGAAGACTGGCCTCTTACCTGCCAAGTCATCAGCAGAGTCCAGCTTGCAGCCTTTCCACAGGAATCAGCTGGGCACCTACCCGACCTTACCTTTAACAAAGTCAGTGGATGCACGGATGCCGGGAGAAGAGAACAGGCTGGGCCTTGGTGGCACTCCTGTCCCTTCCGAGCACTGTGACACACCTTGTGTGATTGGTTTGAGTAAAAACCGAAGAAGCCTCCCGGTTTCCATCTGTCGGAGCTGTGAGACCCTGGAGGGCCCCCAGACTGTGAAAGCATGGCCCCGATCCCATTCCCTGGATGACCTCCAAGGACAGACTGATGCTGGAAAAGATGTGCCTACTGAGGTGACAGAAACCTCTCCTCAGATCGTACCGGAAGTGCCCCAAAAGATGTCCGTCCCCACTGCAAAGGTCCAGCCTCCAGGGCGAAAAAATTCCGCTGCCAGCAATGCCTCGCTACTGACCCAAAGCCAGAGATGTCCCGACTCTCAGAAGATGATGCCCAGAAAGGCTGAAGGTCCCCTGGCAGCCTCTTCCTGTGGCACTTCACTTCCTCAGTGTTTGCCCAGAAACTATGAGGCTCAGCCTCCTGGAGGCAGGCACAGTTTAACAAGGACGTCTCTCGAGGGTCGCAGGAAAGGACATGATTTTGAAGGAACCCACCATCACCCAGGCATAAAAGAAGGTGGAGATGCAGAGCAGAGGGTCCCCGAGGCAAGGACACAGCCAAAACACCCTTCACAGCCTCCGCCTGTTCCTGCCAAAAAGAGCAGAGAACGTCTTGCCAACGGGCTCCACCTTGCTCCCGTGGGCACTGGGGGGAACCTCCCCAGCCCAGATGGCCCATGTTTGCCAGCGAAGAAGGCCAGCCCTGCTGATTGTCCCTCAGCACAGGCATCCAGGTCTCCCTCGGGGCAGGAGCCTGGCAGCCCGTCATGCAGCAGGCCACCACCGTGGCTCTCAGAACTGCCCGAGAGTGCCAGCCTGCAAGAGCATGGTGTGAAGCTGGGCCCAGCACTGAGCAGGAAGGTGTCCTGCAACCGGGGAGTGGACCTGGAACTGCTGACTGAGACCAAGCTGCATACTGAAGGCATCGACCTCACAGAAGAGCCATACTCTGATAAGGTAGCAGAAGCATGGGGCTCCCCAACCCCTGCGATCTTTTGCTGTTGTCTGTCAGACATCCAGGGGACATGAATTCCCCACACCATTGCCCTACAGCAGGCTGTTTTGAAAGTGCCATTGCCAGTGGCTTCTGCCTGTGAAGCAGCAGGCGCACTGATGACCAGGGACCACAGTCATCTGTCCCCCCCACCCTCCACCCCCCCATTACATGTGAATGGAGCCTCACCATTTTCTCATGCTCTTGCTTGTTTGGTTTAATTTTCAGCAGCTGTACCTTGCAGGGAGCATGAGCAGAACCGGAACTAGTTCCTGAAAGGATTGTGGCAGTGGGCAGGAGAAACCTAAGTCCCAGTACCCATGTCTGACTTGACCCGTATTTTGAGACAAAACTGCCTTCCACTGCATTTCCCTCTTGATCAGCTGGGCTTAAATGTCACCTCCCGAAAGTACCTCATAGGTGGACTGCTGGGAGTCCTACTTTGAAAATTGCAGGACCCTGTCCAGACTTGATACGGTGGTTATATTGTACAATTATCTGTAGATAGTAGTGAGGAAATTATAATATAAAACCCCCATTGTATCAAAAACATTTAGATGTATAGAGAAAATTCATGTCTCATTTGATGAAAAAGGTAAAATCATCTACCAGTACCAAAGTGACTTTGAAGACAAATCAGCAGAAACAGAGCTGGTTGGAACCGCATGTGTCGTTACAGTGCACTCCTGGAAGTCCTTGTTATAACGTTCTTATGAGCACACATGCCCACAGGAACATCCCCTCCCTCCTTTTCTTCCATCTCCTTGATATTTCAGGGGGAGGCCCTTTGAAGCGACAGTAGGGAGAGTTCTAAGGAGACGTGCCCTGCTGATGCGGTCTTAAAAATGAATGGCAAACTGTGGAATATCTGTGCAGTAGAAACTTGTCCTGGAGTTTAGGAAGTTAGCATCAACAACAGCAGAAGGATTGGATTTTGCAAAATGGTTAGGTTGAATGAGACGTAGGCGCTGGCCTGAAAAATGCAGGGTGATCATTTCTTGCCTTCAGTACATTTCAGAAGTTATCCTAGACCTCGTTAGTATTTGGGCATAGAGATATAATGTATTCCCCTGAGAGCATCCATGCTGATTGTAGAGAATATATACTCATCTCAGATTTAAATTTTTGGTATTACTTTATTGTAGCCAAATGTCTTATATTTAGTGTATCTTAGAAAAAGAAGAAAAGAAATCCACGCCACCTTCACACCCCGCGCCTTTTCTTCCCACAGCATGGCCGCTGTGGGATCCCTGAAGCCCTGGTGCAGAGATACGCAGAGGACCTGGATCAGCCCGAGAAGGACGTGGCCACCAACATGGACCAGATCCGGGTGAAGCTGCTGCGGAAGCAGCACCGAATGGCGGTGAGCAGCCCCTCGCTTAGCCTTCGTGGGGTGCATTTAGTGACCATGCTGGTGGTGAGCAACTGCAGGTGTGCAGCAGACAGGGGCTGCCTGGAGTTGTTTCAATTTGGTTTGTGTCCCAGCGCTAGGTGTTGAAGGCAGGATCTTTGTGGCCGAGCAGTATTCTCAGCTGTACCCTCAGCACCTAAATGCTTTTTAAAGGTACAGTTTTAGAAGGAAAGGAAAACACAATCCCAGTACTGTGAAAACCCCTAAAAAAGTTCTAAGGATCACAAATTTTCAGACAGGCAGAGTAAGAAAGTTCAAGAGATCTGTTTTACTACATGATCGCTACTGTAATGGCAATACTTGAAAATTGCTAGGGCAGTAGATTTTAACTGTTCTCACATAAATGAACATAAGTGGGGTAATACATACATTAAATAGCTTGATTTAGCCATTCTACAATGTTTACATTAATAGAAACATTATATACCCTCAGTTATATACAATTTTTACTTCCCAGTATGTAAATACCTAAGCATTTCTGTGCACGTGTATAATAGTAAGCATACATAGTTTTGAAGCTTGATTGTTTTTAGTAGTCAGACCAGGTTCATTTCTATTACCAATTTTATCAGAATATTGTAAGTATTCTGTAGCTTACCCAATCCATTTCTCTCTTCCCTCCCTCCCTCCCTCCCTCCCTTGTTCCCTTCCTTCTTTCTTTTTTGTGGTGCTGGAGATCAAACTCAGGGTCATGTGCATGCAAGGCAAGAGCTCTGCCACTGCCCAGGTTCAATCCCCGGTACCACATGCTGCACCGACCCTGCGCTGAGCCAGCCACTGAAACAGGGCATGGTGCCCATGCCTGTGATCCCAATGCTGGGGAGGCTGAGACAGGAGGGTTACTACAAGTCTGAGCTGCATAGTGGGACCCTGTGCCAAATATATAAATATATAGAAGATTTTTAAAAATTAAATAACTTTTAATGACAGGGTCTGAGAGATAGCTTTGTGATCTAAGCACCTGTCTGGCAAGCTCACAGACATGGGTTCAATCCCTGGCACCACACTCAATGCCACTCTGGCCCTGCCCTGGATGTGGGAGGCTGAAACAGGAGGATCACTAGGAGTCTGATCTGCACTGTGAGAGCCAGTACCAAATACATTTAAAAAAAGAAATAACACCTCTGCCACTGAGCCCTAACCCCAGCCCCAGCCCAGCCAATCCCACAATATTGAAATATTTTTATATTAAATAGTAGATCAAAGAACATCTTTGTTAATAAACTACTGTATACTTCTAGAACTTTTTCGCGCACCCAGGACTTAAGCACTGAGCAACATTCTCAGCACTTTTTTGAGTTTTTTAATTTAGAGACAAGATCTGGCTAAGTCTTTAAGTCTCTCCGGCCGGGCTTGAACTTGAAGTTCTCCTGTCTCAGCCTCGCAGGGTACCAGAGTGTGTGCCCTTATGCCTGGCTGCCAGTAGTCAAATTTAAATGTCCATTTCCTTGTCTTAGCCAATACTTGATATTATTGTATTTCAGATTCTTTATGTTGATTAGATACTGAATTTTCTGGTTGTTGCTGCAGATTAAGCTGCACTAATATCCCTCTTCACAGTCCCACACAGGTTTGTCTCTGCAAATCCTTAGGGACCACTCACTGACAAAATAGCCCAGTGAGACAAACTAGCAGGATATAGGAATGCTTACTCTTTGGAACATGGAATGGGGCCATGGAATTGAGATTGCTCTAACTGCAGGAACCTGCTTGATCACTCAAAGTTGGCTTCATTTTTGAGAACTCTTTATTCTAGTCTTTTTGCAGTACCAGGGATCAAACTCAGGACCTTGTGCTTGCCAGGCAGGTGCTTATGCCACTGAGCTGTCTCCCCAGCCCCTAGTCTTGAGTTTTGACTGTCAGGGCATATTCACTTTCTGGCTATCCAGTGGTGCTGTGTCTCTGCACTGCTCCTCGTAGGCGCGCACAGGTAGAGCCTTTAGATTCTGCTTTCTGTGTTTGTCCAGATCCCAAGTGGCGGGCTCACTGAGATCTGCAGGAAGCCCCTCTCTCCCGGATGCATCTCGTCCATGTCGGATTGGCTCATCTCCATCGGCCTGCCCATGTACACCAGCACCCTCTCTGATGCAGGGTTCAGCACACTGAGCCAAGTGCCTTCTCTGTCCCACACTTGCCTTCAAGAGGCCGGCATCACAGAGGAGCGACACATCCAGAAGCTTGTGTCCGCAGCCAGACTCTTCAAACTGCCACCCAGCCCCGAGGCCATGTAGCTGGGTCCACTGTGGAAACCCTGGACCAGAGGCGGCCTTGCCCTGTGCTCATGAAGCTGATGCAATTCCTTCATCATGGGCAGGCTGGCCGGATCCGGGAGAAAGGCACCCAGCCAGGGCACGTGAGAGAAGTGAGCAGAGCACCCCGGTGTGCCCTTGTCTCTGTGTTAGGCTCCGCAGGATGCCTGAGCCAGACAGGCTCAGCTAGGCCAAAGTATCAGACTCGGGAGTTACTGTATCCAGTTGACTGTACTCACCTGTTCAGAAGTTGAACATCTGGCTGCACCAGGAAAAACAGAAGTCCTATTCTCCTTTAGATAAACAAGAGACTATAAATAATTGCTTCCTAGCAATCAGCTTTTATTTGCCTTAATATCAGCTTTCAAGCAGTTATCTGTAACTAGTGTCCACAGCCCTGTAACCATAGTTCCAGATCTTCAGCCTAAGTCTGCCGCGCGACGTGTCTGGGAAGCTCTCAGCACAAATGGGCTTTTCGAAGTGTCTCATCCTGACATGGCTTATTTTCTAGGGACATGCATTTCATCTTGGCTTTCAGTGTTTGAACTAACTACAGCCTAGTACTAAGCTATCTGAAGTTGACAGAGGTATCTGTGGGGGCGTGGGTGTGGGAGCGTGGTAACTGCCTTTCATTTTAATGAGTTCAGTGTTGTGCCACGTCGGTCACTGCCGCAGTATTGACTTGGAACCCTGACCACATCCATTGCAGGATTCAGTCATCAGTTAAGGAGCACGCTTGCAAAAAGTCAGTGTAAGGTTAAAGATTTCAGAACGCTGTTTCTAAAAAGGGAAGTCATTAATTAAAATGTTGTTATCCTCTTTTCTTATTTAGATAATTCTTTTTATTCAAACAGGTTCATTAGGGAGCCAAACCACACTAGCCATTATGTTGAATATTGCCTATTTTCAATTATCTTCCAACTGATTACAGAGTATTATATCCTCTTTTAGTCTCATATCTCATTTTCTAGTAAATAGCAAATTTAGACAGTATTACAGTTTCCATTCCTTGTAAAATGATTTTTTTCTTCACATTCTTCATCATGAGCACTATTTGAAGCATCAAATATGGTCATTTACAACAGAAAGACTTTGAACATAAGACCTGGATCAAAAGTTCTCTAACGTTTCATCTAGTATTAAATGATTTCCCTCAGGGAAGTGGGAGAAGTGGTTTCATTAATTGTAAAGCCATCTTTACATGCTTTATATATCTAGATCCATGTCTCTAAGGAAAAGGACATTCTCAGGTGATGTATTTTTTTCATGCATTGGTATGCATTTTTTAAAAGTAATGTGTGTTTCTTATAATTTTTACCTTCCATGAGATGCCGTGTGAAGAAGTTGTGGTAATGCTGATTAGAAAGGCAAAGCTGCCAAATTTCTATGGAATTCTTAAAAGTGAACCGCAGTATTTGTACTCGGGTTGCGGTGATAGCCTGTTTGGAAGGTGGTAGGGCTGCAGGTCCTCAGGCTAGCTACAGCGCTCACTGGATACCATCTGTGGTGGAGCAGGGGCCTCGAGACGGGCTTCTCTCCTCACCTTTGAAGTGCCTTGGCTTGGCACTCCCGACAGTCCGCTCCTCGCTTCAGCTGAGCCAAAAGACCACGCGAAGGTCCTGTTAGAGGCAACAAAGGAGGAGGAGAAATCATGTGGGAATTCCCCAGTTTTAATTTGTTCTCAGCCTAGAGCTTTTGTTTAAGTAAAACTAGCACCAGAGAGCTTGAGAATGTCAAACCATATTTTTATCACTCTTGGAAATCTTTGCCTTTGCATGGAAAATTAAATTCAGGGACCACAAATAATTTTTAGCATGGACGTCTGATTTGAGGGAGCTAGGTTGGTTTTGACTTTTTTTTAAAAACAATTTTTAAACTATCTTTAGCGTTTGCTTGGTCTTTTTTTTATTTTTAATTTGATCTGAGAAAAGCCTGTGTGTGTGATGGTTGATCGAGGTGGTTTGGGACTGCCTGTGGATGTTGGAGGTAGTAGGTTTTAGCAATATCCAGTTTTTATCAGTTGTGTTTGGTGCAGAATTTGAGTAAAGATAAAAATTATTGTCTTTGGAAAGCACAAAAGAAACCCAGAAAGGCAGTTTGGCTCAGGTAGGTATACATGGCGTTTGTGTGTAATTTGTGACATCACAGCTGCCGGGAAGGAAGTGCAGCCAGTCCCAGCTACCACTGACATTCCCACATAACTGAAAGCAAATAGTTTTTCACAGCTTGCCTTACTCAGAGGCACTTTTCTCTGTCTTTACCCGAGGTGTAGTTGAAAACAGAAGTGATCTATCTAGTAGACATCAGTCCTTGACATAGCAAAGTTCATTTCCATAACTGCAGTGAGAGAGGTCAGTTCACCAAGTCACTCCTGCACATGCGTACTACATTATGTTCAGAAAAAGTATAGTCATCTGAGTCCAATGTATCTTGATTTTAAATTGAGGAAAACTGTCAAGCAAGTTATATAACAACTAACAACATTGCACTTTCTGTATATGAAATCAATATTTAAATAACTTATTTTTCTCCATTGCTGTTCTTAAACATTGTAAGTAGCTGTAATATACCAGTACCAATATGTTCTTGCAATTGCTTCAGCCCAAGAAAGCTGTGTATTGTTTTAAAAACTGTAAAAATTATTGTGATGATTCATTTAGCAAAAGGAAAGGTGGACAGAAGGGTTTTCCTATGTATCAAAAACCTGTCTATAATTATGTCATCTATGTACCTAGAAAAAAAAGTAAATAAATTTCTTCAGTTGAATCTGCTTCTTTGGTTGTTCTTCAGGCATTTCAAGGATGGAAGAGTATAAATAAAGGGGAAATTAAGATATGCTGTTAAGAACTGAAACACACTGTGAAATTGTAGTTGTACATCATTGTGTTGGCCACGTGAGCACAACACATCCACTCACAAGCACCCAGGTTCTCCTGGCCAGTTGCATTTTTTTCCAAATAAGTATCTGAGTCATATAATGACAGTGTCCCAGACCAGAAAGATTTGTGGAAGTTACCTGTTTTCTAAGCCATCATTTTCAAATGAAGAATCTGAGGCCACCTGGGTGGTTGACTTGCCCAAACCAAGTAATCTACTCAGAGACAGAGACAGAGACAGACAGATGCAGGTTAGAATTTCCAGAAATCAGTCAACTTGACAGTAATGTATCTGTTGTTGGTACACCACAAACACACAAAGACTTTTTGGTTGTTCCAGGGATCAAATTCGGGTTCTTGTGCTTGTGGGCGCACTGAACTGCATCTCTAGCCTCGGAAGACACATTTTTACTGATGGAAGGTGTTATAAAATTAGTATATAACATATTTACTTGGGGAAAAAAACACCCCCTTTTTTGTGAATTATCTTATTCCTTTTTCTATAGGCAGCTATCATAATAGCATTTATCTAGGTTCTTAGAAATGTTCATACTTATTTACAAATCTAATTGCATACATATATTTTCATACAGAAGTGAGGAGAACATTTCTTCACCTGATTTTATAAATTAAAATATTGGGAATTCTTCCATGTTAACACACTTCCATTTTGCTGAAAGTTCGGTAATAATCTATTATGCAAGTAATTTGTCTAAATACATAACTTTTCACTGTTATTAAATAGCTGTTATGAATTGTGAATATCCTTACATATATGTCATGTGGAATAGCTGTGTTTTTTTAAAAAAAAACTTTTTTATTCTGTTTATGTATTACGGCACTGGAGATCAAACTCAGGACCTTCCACCTACCTCTGGCACAGGTAGGCCCTTGTGCCACTGAGCTATATCCCTGGCCCTCTGTTATGTGTTATCTAAATTTTGATAGAATATTTTAAGTCCTCTGGTGGATTTCATAAAGGAAACTACATGCTAGGTTTCATCATTGTCTTCATCCCCAACTTGTTTTGCAAATGGAGATATTTTATGTCTTAGAGTGAAGGCTCACCTCGTGTTAAGAACCCATCAGAAACCTCAGCTTGTATTCTTTATTTTTAGCTTGTATTTTTCTTGCACTGACTCATCTGATTTAACAGTTCAACTGAAAGCAGAGACATTTTTCTTAGCATTCCTAGGAAACCTTGACCACATCCCTGGTGTGCCTAACTCCCTCATAGGTGGAGACCTGTGGTGCACTCTAAAAAGTACACATTTGGTTAGGGAAGGTACAAGAGAACATAGTCACTTGCTAATGAGTTTTTAGCTCTGCAGCTCATTTGGAGCCCTTAGAAGTATGACTTTCTTTACCCTTGGATATGGGGAGCCTCTTGTGGAAACCACACGTTACTTCACAGCCCGGGGTGTGCGTGTGCGTGTGTGAGCAAAGTGACTTGTGTGAGAGGATGAAAGCCCATTTGGGTGGGCCCCCAGCAGGGTACTATGGGCGCCATTGCTTGAAGTGCTCCAATTCCTCATCCAGAGCCCCGCCAACAGTGCTACTTCAGAGAACTCTGAAAAGGATTTTGATCTTTATTTGATGCTGTGGCTTGACTGTACCCAGAGTTCATGTGTTGGGGACTTAATCCTCAAATTTATGGATTAGTGATATTTGGAGATATAGTCTTCGAGGGCCATTTAGGATTAGATGAAATCATGTAGGGTGGGGACACAGTGGCATTAATAGCGTCATAAGAAGGACAAAGGGAGCTGACACTTTGTCTTGGTATTCGATGCCTTCCTCCATGCGTGATGTGGCAAGATCCTTACAACATGCCGCACCTCAACCTTGGACTTGTCGGCCTTCAGAACTGTGAGGAGCAAATCTCTTCTTTATAAGTCACCCTCCTAATGTTATGTTAGTTACGTGGATTATGTGGATTATGTGCATGTATTAGGCTGCTCACCAAGAGTGCCATGAATGTTACACTGTTCTAACACAAAGTCCTAGAAAGCACAAAATAATAAATGAGAGAATAGAACCTATAAGCCCGTGAGCGGATGGTCCATGCATTGAACCTTCTTTTTGGATCTTGCAGCCCACTTGTAAATTCTGCCGCATCTTCATCTAGTTCCTCCTCCTAGTTCATGCTACACAAAACACATCAGTCTATAATTCTGTTTGAACTAAGGGTCCTGTTTTGGGCTGCCCCAGCCACCATTTAGTCCCTCACCTCTCTCTCTCTCTCTCTCTCTCTCTCTCTCTCTCTCTGCAGAACCGGGGATTGAACTCAGGCCCTTGCCCTTGCCCTTGCCAGGCAAACGCTTATTCCACTGAGCCATCTTCCTAGCTTCTAGTCCCTCACGTCTGGAAGCTTCCCCTGGAACCTGCTGCAGCCTGCGGTTGCCCTGTTTGCATTCCTTTGGGGGAACCACACCTCCACTTCAAGGGATCCCGGCACGAGTTTCAGAGGTGTGCCCATCTGCCTCTGGGTGTGAGCAAAACCCACCCAGGGGATCCAGACTCCTGCCCTTGCAGTCAGGTTCTTGAGCTGAGAGTTGAGCATGTGAGAGGGCTAGAGTCAACCGTGATGCCTGAGGAACCCCTGAAGCTCTGCCAGCAAGGGACTCTGCCTTCCTCCACTCTCCCCTGATATTCTATACCAATGGCCACCAGGCATTTTGGCTCATATACCTCTTAAAATGACACTCAAACATGAACTCTTTTGCATATGTTGAAGTTGCCCTCTACCAGTTCTTAACCATAAGCTTAAGTAATTGCAAGACTGGATGTTCCCATACAGCAATTGCATTTTAAAATAAAACCAACATTATTTTAAAGTAGAAAACAACTGCCATAGCTATTTGGCACCTCCCAGTCGCTCACTGAAAACACACAAGAACAAGCAATTTAAAA